TAATTCCCAATTGGGTAGACAGTGTAGCAGATATAATAAACATTGACATTTGGCTCCATCTTGACAGACATCAGGTGTGAATAAATGCCTTTTCAGTTTGCAAAACTACACTCTGTAGAGGTTCTGCAGACATTCTAGATTTTTACAATGAGATAGGATAAACAAAGGTAAATGCTCTCACCTTCGTATCACCACTGGTGAGGTTGTTTCGTGGGAGGACAAAGTCATGTCCACTTATTGCCTAACTGGGGCTGCGGTTCTGTACTAATTGCAAGGGACACCACAGAATGCTCCATCGGTTCTGTACTGCCAATTCTAGCGAGTTCATTGCAATGTCTGTCGACAATCACTACGCAGTTAAATTGGTCACTTGTTGGACAGCACGAGTCATGGCTGTTCGTCTGCTTAGTTTTTAGCTTGTCCGCTGAGGTGGTCTCAGGCCACACCGGTCTGACAGTAAGTCAGTGAGGCTCCAAGCCGCCAGTGAGGCACCCAAACCCCATCAAATCTGGCATTTAAGAGATGTTGTGCTTGTTCGGGTGATTATCAAATGCCTTATTTACTTAATCGGTTTTGAACGACTGATTAGTTGACATTAGGCTTGAGGTGTTCGTTACCAAATCGGGTGTTTGTTCACTTTGTTATGCATCAGTGAATGTGTTGTAGCAGCTAAACTAAACTGTGAAATCCTAATCGGCAACTTTGAAGTTTTTATTTAAGTAATGTGAAAGAAAGTTCTTGTGATTGCAGAATTGTTTTTAAAAAATAAAAATACTGAGTGTGGGAGTTTGAGAGTGAGTTTTTTTTACTTACACGAATGCTGAGAAGCTGTCAATATGTGTTTACGGTGATTGTCAGATCGCAGATGGCTATGAAGGCTTGCTAGTTTGGTATCTCACTGAAGTTTACAAGTTGTTCTCTTTCAGCTCATTCACTTCATCATGTCTCGTGAAGCAAATGCAACAAACAGGGTGGCAGAGAAGGGCGACTTCAAGCCTATGGTGGATGATGAGACGAAGAACTTGGAGATAAACTTGGAAGAGATTGAACTTCCAGTGCCCCCAGATGGGGGCTGGTCCTGGCTAGTGTTATTGGGTAGCTTTATTTGCATGTTTTGCGTCGATGGTCTCTCCTTCTCCTTTGGGGTTCTTCTCTCTGATCTTCAGACGAGTTTCGAATGCACCACTACAAAGATTTCATTAGCTAGCTCACTCATTGTTGGATTCACACTCATATCAGGTATGCCTCCTCCTGTTTACTGTTTTATCCCCTCAATACTCCTCCCACCTCATTGCCACCTTTTTTTTTATTACAGGTCCAATTGTTAGTGCAGTGTCGAACATTTTCAGCTTCCGCTCTTTGGTCTTGGTGGGCTCTGTGATATCGTTCTGCTCGGTGCTGGCCTGCGCCTTCGTCAATGATGTCAATGTTTTTATTGTTCTCTTTGGTTTCGTTACTGGTGAGTTTGCACTATTAATTGCCTGCAGATTGTATTAAGTTTGAAGTTAAGCATTATTGTGGAGTATTTTTTGGAGCGATTTTTGCCTCCAGTCGGGAGCAACACCTAAACGATCTGATTTATTTTCATGAGAATGCAATACAATAACATGCCATCAAATTGAAAACTGTCTTATAAAACATACTGTCAGCTGTGAATAGGAAGAGACTGACTGAACAATAAATGTCAAGTTCTCCAGGCATTCCTTAATAATCCAAAGTGTCGGCAATTGCACCAATTGTTGTTAGGTCGAATATCACATTTCCTGTTCTCTTTTTCAGTTATAAAATGAGTAACAGGCCTAAAATTGTGGGGAAACAAATTGTTTGTTTAATGGCAATTGCTTATTTCTTTTGCTGCCTCTCTGAATTGAGAACGAAATATCGCGGTCATCCAGTCGGTTTGGTTACCTTCGCTAGGGATTGCCTTAACACACCGTCCACAATTTCCACTTTTTAACAATGTTGAAAGTCTTTACCCGTATCATCAAGCTCAGTCGTTAGTCCAAATTAGTGTCATCTCGCCGTTGGGACCATCAAAGTACTCTTTTCCACAGCGTGTGAACTTCGTGTGTCACCTTTTATTGGTAAACCGACATCAAAGCTTGAAATGAGACTCCCTTGATTAGTGTATTTGAACATCCATTGTTGAAAAGTTGTTTCCTAAAAATGGCGCAGTTGTCAGATCCAGGCGTGTTAAATTTTGGTTTTGTGTAAGGATTGTCGTCATAAGGTGTGAAAGCGATGAGAGCAATGTGTACCGATTAGCGTCAAATAAGCATTTGGATTAAGCGGATGTACATTTCGGATACAGGACTACTAATGGATAAATTCACTTGGTTGTTAGTCTAGCTTGCATTGCTTGTCATGCCTTGTCAGGTGCTGAATATGCTTGTTCAATGAATATCTCATACTGTTTATGCACCCTAATGGGAACTTTGGCGCCGAAAATGGTTTTGGATCCAGAAATGGTAATTGTAATGTACATTGTATAAACAAGAAGACTTTTTTGTTTACAAATTCATATTTTTCAATGCTCTGACATCACACTTTCAATCATATTGAAAAGGTGCCAACCCCGTGCTTCCTTCTCACCTGATTGTGAGGTTGGTTTCCTATGCAACAAACAACAATTTGTTGTTTTTGAACAAACTTGTAGTTCTCGTTCGTCAAGTGGAGCACTCACCTCATATTTTCCCATTCAATGGCAATCTCAATTTAGACTATTTCGAATA